AGGGCAGGGCTCTGTGCACACGCCTCCTGGTCCAGAGGCCTCCGTGACCATCCATGATGTCACTCTGTCCCCTCAGCAAGCTGCCTTTCTCTTACTAGCACCTGCCCCAGCAGTGGTATGTTTTCCTGTGGGTTACCGTCTGTCTCATGAGAATGGAAGCTCCATGAGAGCAGGGCCTTTGTCTTGTCCCCTATGTATCTCCAGTGCATAGGACAGTGCTGGCATAGTGTAGATCTAAATAAATGCTGTTGAACGAAAAAATAATAATAATAAATAAAATAGGATTACAGGTCATTGTAAAGTCATTTATTTAACCAAAGTGATAATTCAAGGATTTCAAAAAAAGCAAAATCTTCATTCTTTGAGACTTAATTTTCTAAACAAGAAGCCCTAATAAAAACAGCATGAAGCCAATAATATTTGTTTTTCAAAATTTTGTAAACAATCTATAAAATTTAATAAAATATAACTTCCATAAGCCTTTTATTTATTTATTTATTTATTTATATTTATTTATTTATTTATTTTTTTTATTTTTTTTTTTTTGAGACGAAGTTTCACTCATGTTACCCAGGCTGGAGTGCAATGGCGCGATCTCGGCTCACCGCAACCTCCGCCCCCTGGGTTCAGGCAATTCTCCTGCCTCAGCCTCCTGAGTAGCTGGGATTACAGGCACGCATCACCATGCCCAGCTAATTTTTTGTATTTTTAGTAGAGACGGGGTTTCACCATGTTGACCAGGATGGTCTCGATCTCTTGACCTCGTGATCCACCCGCCTCAGCCTCCCAAAGTGCTGGGATTACAGGCTTGAGCCACCGCGCCCGGCTATTTATTTTTTTTGAGACGGAGTTTTGCTCTTGTTACCCAGGCTGGAGTGCAATGGCGTGATCTCGGCTCACCGCAACCTCCGCTTCCTGGGTTCAGGCAATTCTCCAGCCTCAACCTCCTGAGTAGCTGGGATTAGAGGCATGCGCCACCATGCCCAGATAATGTTTTTTTGTATTTTTAGTAGAGACGGGGTTTTACTATGTTGACCAGGATGGTCTCGATCTCTTGACCTCGTGATCCACCTGCCTCGGCCTCCCAAAGTGCTGGGATTACAGGCTTGAGCCACCGCGCCCAGCTCCATAAGCCTTTTATAACCTTTATTAAAGAGTTGGTTAGGCTGGGCATGGTGGCTTATGCCTGTAATCCCAGCACTTTGGGAGGCTGAGGTGGGTGGATCATGAGGTCAGGAGTTTGAGACCAGCCTGGCCAACATGGTGAAACCCTGTCTCTTCTAAAGAAATACAAAATTAGCCGGGCATGGTAGTGTGCACCTGTAATCCCAGCTACTCAGGAGGCTGAGGCAGAAGAATTTCTTGAACCCAGGAGGTGGAAGTTGCAGTGAGCTGAGATCATGCCACTGCACTCCAGCCTGGGGGACAGAGCAAGACTCCGTCTCAAAACAAAACAAAACAAAACAGCCTTTACAACCTTACATGCCCATCTCTTCTACAATAGTCCCTGGGTCTTGAGGAATTGAATAGCTTTAATTTCAGGACCTGTGTCTCAGGAAGGCAGTTTATTTTGATTTGCATCTTCTACAGGGCTGAAGATGAGGCTTTAATTGCTGTCAGTGTTTAAGATTTAGCAGGATTTGGTGTCCTTTTTAGACCCAGGAGTCAAAGCCCTAAACTCAATGTCACAAGGACTTTAAAAGCACATACAGGAAAATATATGGATATAATAACTTTAATTTAAAAAAAAAATTATTTCAGGCCGGGCTCAGTGGCTCACACCTGTAATCCCAGTACTTTGAGAGGCCAAGGCAGGTGGATTACAAGGTCAGGAGTTCGAGACCGGCCTGGCTAAAATAGTGAAACCCCATCTCTACTAAAAATACAAAAATTAGCCAGGCATGGTGGCGCACACCTGTAGTCTCAGCTACTTGGGAGGCTGAGGCAGGAGAATCACTTGAACCCAGGAGGCGGAGGTTGCAGTGAGTTGAGATCGCACCACTGAACTCCAGCCTGGGTGACAGAGCAAGACTCTGTCTCAAAAAAATAAAAAAATTAAAAAAATCTGATTACCATTTCAGCTATGACAAAATGCTGTTAAACTAACAATAATCATACAAATTATAGGACTTCTGAGCACTCTAAGTGTAAGCAGAAATTAATACCAGTTGGCTGTTAAATGCTAACTTTAGTCGTTTAAAAGGAATTTGCAAGACAGAATCCCAAACCAGTTTCTTGCCTAGTGATGGGTCTCAGGCTGTAGACTGCTCTCTCCCAGCCTAGAAGCAGGAAAAAAAAAAAACAACAACAAAACTTATCTTCCCTCTTGGAAGTGAGCAGGAAAACTTGCCTTCCTGTTGCAAGCAAGTCAAACTCCAAAAAAAAAAAAAAAAGGAGTTGTATAGCAAAATAAATTTTAGATCTCAATCAAATTATAGGAGATCAGGGATTCTCTGGAGGGGATACTCTCAGACCTCAGCAAATTGTCCTATTGGTTTGAGCCATAAAGTTAGCTCATGCTGGTACCAAGCAGCAACAGGAGATTTCTTTCTTTCTTTTCTTTTTAGAGACAAAGTTTCACTCTTATTGCCCAGGCTGGAGAGGATAGCACAATCTCAGCTCACTGCAACCTCTGCCTCCCAAGTTCAAGGGATTCTCCTGCCTCAGCCTCCTGAGTAGCTGAGATTATAGGCACCCACCACTGCCTCTGGCTAATTTTTGTATTTTTAGTAGAGATGAGGTTTCTCCATGTTGGTCAGGCTGGTATTGAACTCCTGACCTCAGGTGATCTGCCTGCCTTGGCAGGGTTATAGGTGTGAGATCCCCCCCTCCTCCCTCCCCCTCTCCCCCCTCTCCCCCTCCCCCTTCCCCTCCCCCTCCTCTTCTTTCTTCTTCTTCTTCTTCTTTTTTTAAGACGGAATCTTGCTCTGTTGCCCAGGCTGGAGTGCAGTGGCCCGATCTTGGCTCACTGCAACCTCTGCCTCCCAGGTTCAAGTGATTCTCGTGCCTCAGCCTCCTGAGTAGCTGGGATTATAGGCATGCGCCACCATGCCCAGCTGTTTTTGTATTTTTAGTAGAGACAGGGTTTCACTATATTGGCCAGGCTGGTCTTGAACTTCTAGCCTTGTGATCTGCCTACCTCAGCCTCCCAAAGTGCTGGGATTACAGGCGTGAGCCACAGCGCCCAGCAGGCCAGGAGATTTCTTTTATTTTTTTGAGACAGAGTTTCTTTCTGTTGCCCAGGCTGGAGTGCAGTGGCAGTGGCATGATCTTGGCTCACTGCAACCTCTGCCTTCCAGATTCAAGCGATTCTCTGGCCTCAGCCTCCCAAGTAGCTGGGATTACAGGTGTGCGCCATCACGCCTGGCTAATTTTTTATTTTTAGTAGAGATGGGGTTTCACCATGTTGGCCAGGCTGGTCTCAAACTCCTGACCCAAAATGCTGGGATTACAGGCATGAGCCACCACACCCATCCAACAGGAGATTTTTTTAAAGGTCAAGGGCATTTCCACTCAGAATCCCCCTGTGGTTACCAAAATGTGAATCCTAAAATTTGAGACAGGTCTCAGTTAATTTAGAAAGTTTATTTTGCCAATGTTGAGGACGCTCCTGTGACACAATCTCAGGAAGCCCTGAAGACATAATGTCTAAGGTGGTCTGGGAACAGCTTGGTTTCATGCATTTTAGGGAGACAAGTGTTCTTTCCAGAAAGGCAGAGAGAGCTCAAAGCAAGATCCCGCCCCCCCTTCACTGGGGGCTTCCAGGTCACACGTAGGTGAGAGACAGATATTTGCATTATTTTGAGTTTCTGGTAAATCTTTCCAGAAGAGATAATCAGAATATGCATCTATCTCTGTGAGCGGACAGATGACTTTGAATAGAATTGGAGGTAGATTTGCCCTGAGTGGTTCCCAGGTTCCCAGCTTGAAGAGGCCCAAGATACTTTCCTTTCGCGCCTGGCATACAGTTAATGGGCTCTTTTATAGGAGTTTCAGGATTTATAAAGCACTTTTACTCACATTATCACATTTAGATCATTTTCACAAATGTAACATATTAAGCATTTTTAAAATTGGGAAATGAAGGATAAATAACTTCTCCAAGACAGTATTGAATAGCCAGTGATAAAAGGAGGGGAGTCACAGATCTGGGTTTGCCACTTATTAGTACCTACCTCACAAGGTTGTTGCAAGGATAATATTAGGCAATGTGTGGTGGTAGCACTTATAAAAATGGAATGTCACATCTTAGCTCCAATACAATACCTCTTTCTCAGGAAAGTCATCTTTGATGGCCTACTCTAGATCAAGTTCACATTATAAACTCACAAACAACGTGTACTTCCTTTCCCAGCACTCAAAAATATCAATGTATGTGATCATTTGATTGTCTTGTATCTTTTATATCGGGAGTTCTATCAGGATATTGATGTCTGACTTTGTTCTCCATAGAATCTCCCACGCCTAATACAGCACTTGCCATATGGAATTTTTTTTCAGACAAGGTCTCGCTCTGTCACCCAGGCTGGAGTGCAGTGGCGTGATGTCTGCTCACTGCAGCCTCCAGCCTCCCAGGCTCAAGCGATCCTCCCACTTCAGCTTCCCAAATAGCTGGGACCACAGGCGTGCGCCCCGACACCCAGCTAATTTTTTCATTTTTTTGTAGAGAGGGAGTTTTTGCGATGTTGCCCAGGCTGGCCCAATTTCTGATTAGCTCGATTTGATAACTTCTCTTAGTCCAGGAAAACTGTTACAGTGATGCAAGGATCTGTAGAATGAAATGGATGTTACTCCTCTGAGATCAAAGTTACTATTAATCTGGGAGGACAAAACTTCCACTGAGGATGGAACCACCATTGAGAATGCATGCGCTTAACGACAATTCGTTTCTACCTCAAAATCCTGGATGGCAGTTTTGTCCTTCCTTCCGTACGATGGCCCAAGATGGCGGAGCCCGTGATTGAAAAACCAGATTCAAGCTAGCTACTTCCTGCTTCCCCTATAGCGTCGCGCTCGTCCACCGAGGCCACGCCCACTTCCGGCAACTCTGGCAACTCCGACTCAGCATGGTTGCTTTAAGGGCTCTTCTCTTGGGTGAGTAGGTATAGGGACTGTGGACTTGGGGGCCCGTTGGGAACGGACACAGGACCCCCGAGCCGGCTGCGCGGCCTCTTCCCCAACTCTGCTCTGTTTTCCCAGCAGGCGTCCGGAAGCTGCACTGCGGCGCGGCCGCCTTGGCGGGCAGCCAGTGGCGACTCCAGTGAGTGCTGGGATGAGGGGACCTGGGGGACCAGAAGCTGGGCTAGGTCTTCACAGATCTGTTTTTCTCCACCCAGGCAGGGACTGTCTGCCAACCCCTCCGGCTACGGGCCCCTTACGGAACTCCCAGACTGGTCATATGCGGGTGAGCGCTGATCTGACAGTTCACTGGGGAGATTTTCACTCAGAGGGAACGCCCCTGGACGGGGAGCAGGGGTTATCAAGATGGGGGCGTGTCCGAATGGAAATAGTGTTTAACGTGTGTGTGAACATTTTTTTTTTCACCCTGAGATGGAGTCTCGCTCTGTTGCCCAGACTGGAGTGCAGTGGCGCGGTCACGGCTCACTGCAACTTCCGCCTCCGGTTTCAATCGATTCTCCTGCCTCAGCCTCCGGAGTAGCTGGGATTACAGGCGCCTGCCACCATGTCCGGCTAACTTACTTTTAGTAGAGACGGGGTTTCACCATGTTGGCCAGGCTGGTCTCGAATTCCTGACGTCGTAATCCGCCCACTTCGCTAGGCCTCCAGAAGTGCTAGGATTACAGGCGTGAACTACCACGCCCGTCCAAAAGTGTTGAACTTTTTATTTGGAAAACGGAATTTGGGAAAGAAGCCCTCTTGTTATTTTGTAGATTACACTTCCACTAAGGAAAGTAAAGCTAAACAGGATCTTGCTTTATGGAGATAAGCAGGAGATAATTCTGACTTGGGGCCGGCAGGGTAGAAGAGAGTGACAAGACCTCCAATGTTTTTCAAAGGGGGACATGATTTTTTAAAATCAAGAACCACTTTTCTGTGTGGTTAGTGAATTTTCAGTATTTGGTACCAAATGCAGGGAGAGCTCTTTGAAAAGCTGCAGATATAAGCATCTCAGCGGGATGAAGACTAAGGATGGCAGGCTCCCTTCAGAAGGGAGGCCTTTCCCTTTACTTACAAAAGAGAGGGAGAATAGATAGTAGCCCTAGAAGGAAGGGACCTTAGAGAAATTGAAGCTACTCCCCACTCTCCTTATGAGACTCTAGTTTACAAGTAGGAAATTTCAGGCCTACAGAGGTGAATTGCCCATGCACACAGCTAGCTAATAGCAAAGCTAGGACTAAAACATAGGCGAGTCCTCTTTGACAACACAGAGATCTGAATATTTAATACCTTATTGTTGCTCTTTAGGAGTATGATCCTGCTTAATTGGATAATTGGTAACTGAGGATGATGGTGCAGATTTTTTCCACTTGTTATTTACTGTAGGAAGTCTGGCATCTTCTTGTAGTAGTATGGACTATTGGAAAGACTCTGGAATTACATACCTGCCTCTTTTCTTCTTTTTTTTTTCTTTTTTTCATAGAGACGAGGTCTTGCTATATTGCCCAGGCTAGTCTTTAACTCCTGGCCTCAAGCGATCCTCCAGTCTTGTCTCCAAAAATGCTGGGATTACAGGCATGAGCTACTGCACTCAGCCTGTAACTGAGACTTTCTTTCTCTCTTCCTTTTCCTTTTTTTTTTTTCAGCTTTTGAGATAGGGTCTTACCCTGTCACCCAGGCTGAAGTGGCATGATCATAGTTCACTGCAGCCTTGATTTCCTGGGCTCAAGCAATCCTTCCACCTCAGCCTCCCAAGTAGGTGGGACCACAGGTCACAGACACACCACTATTCCTGCCTTTTTTTTTTTTTTTTTTTTTTTTTTTTTTTTTAGTAAAGACACGGTCTTGCTAAGTTGCCCAAGGTGATCTTGAACTCCTTAGCTCAAGTGATCCACCTCAGCCTCCCAAAGTGCTGGGATTACAGGCGTGAGCCATCACACCCAGCCTATGGACCTTATTCTTAATCCAGGCTTCCCTTCTTGCTAACTTTGTGGTCTTGGACAAGTTACTTAATTTTCTCTTAGTCTCAGTTTCCATATCTGTAAAAGAACAACTATCTCATATAGTTCTGATAAGGATAAAATGAAACAAGCAATGTAAAGCACACCACATACACAATATTGGTTCTCCTTTCTGATGAATAATACCTCTTCTCTGTCTTGCATTCAAACTTTTAGGCAGAGTTTTCACTGTTTCTTTGCAGAAAATAAGTGTCCTTTTTCCTCATCTCCACTATAAACTACTTGGGTCAAATACTGCATCTTTTCAGCAAATCAGCAAATATTTCTGGATTTTTAATAACATGCTTATGTGCCTATACTATACTATGAATAGCAAAAGCTAGCGACACAGTCCCTGACCCAAGTAACTTAAAGTCTAGCTGGGACAAAGCATGGACGTTTTAAAAATTAAGTAATAGTATTTCAGGGCCAGGCACCATGGTTTGTGCCTATAGTCCCAGCTACTTAGGAGGCTGAGGCAGGAGAATCAGTTGAGCCCAGGAGGTAGAGGTTGTAATAAGCTGGGATCGTGCCATTGCACTCCAGCCTGGGCAACGGAGTGAGACCCTGTCTCAAAAATAACAATAATAAGGCCGGGCGTGGTGGCTCACGCCTGTAATCCCAGCACTTTGGGAGGCCGAGGCGGGTGGATCACGAGGTCAACAGATCGAGACCATCCTGGTCAACATGGTGAAACCCCGTCTCTACTAAAAATACAAAAAATTAGCTGGGCATGGTGGCGCGTGCCTGTAATCCCAGCGACTCAGGAGGCTGAGGCAGGAGAATTGCCTGAACCCAGGAGGCGGAGGTTGCAGTGAGCCGAGATCGCGCCATTGCACTCCAGCCTGGGTAACAAAAGCGAAACTCCGTCTCAAAAAAAAATAATAATAACAATAATAGTATTTCAATACTCTGCCCCTTTCCAAAAGGACCTGAGGTAGCTAAATAACACTAAAAAATGTATAGTAAATGTCCCAAGGCAAATAGGTGAATATTAAATAATCAGCACTTCTTTCAGAAGAAAAGGCTGGTAGACTTGAAGAGATTAGAAAAGAGTTTCTGGGAAAGTTAGGATTTGAGTGGACCTAAGAATGTAAATTTGGCTGGAAGAAAAGGAAAAGAGGGCATTTCATTGTGGAGTAGGATGGAATTTAGCAAAGATATATAGTTAGTACAACAGCAATTACATTGCTTAAGAGTTTCTGAAGATAAAACAGTAGATTCCGCATTGCAGAGGACCCCCAAAGCTAATGAGAGTTAAGTGAAATAAAGTAGTACTATGCCCACGAACTTATTCTGGGTTATCCTGGGTTATCATACCTCGCCCTTGAAGATGAGGGACATATTTTAGGATAATTAAGCTATAATGTATATGAAATGTAAGAGAGAAGCTAGAGATTGGTTCTTGCCTTATTCCTATCACAGTATTTGCACAAGATCTCTAACACTTGCCTTTTCTCTCACTTCTACTTATAGATGGCCGCCCTGCTCCCCCAATGAAAGGCCAGCTTCGAAGAAAAGCTGAAAGGGAGAAGTTTGCAGTGAGTGGCTAGAGCACCAGCCAGGGCTACCTGTGTGTAACTGGAGGGAGAGCATTTAAATCATAATTTGTCTTGAGCTGTGTTGCACCTAAGCAAACATGTACCCCTTAATTAATGCAGAGTTGTATTAATCACAGTCAAAGGTTTTAATAGAACTGTGAGATGGGAGGAACAGAGTGGGGCACTCCCAGGGCAGGAACCAGTAGTAGACATCCTGCTGTACATTTTGCTCTCTCCCTCTGCTTCCCAAGCCAGGACTTGCTCCCACTGGGGAGTCAGCAGTGCCATTTTCCAGGTGAAACCTCTGAATTTGTGAGTGAAAGGATGTATAGTGTAGCACTTAACCCCCCAGACATTATCCACACTGTTTTCCTGTCTTTCAGAGGCGAGTTGTACTGCTGTCACAGGAAATGGACACTGGATTACAGGCATGGCAGCTCAAGCAGCAGAAGCTGCAAGAAGAAAGGAAGCAGAAAAATGTTCTTAAACCCAAAGGGGCTTCACTGAAGAGGCCAAGTCAATAAAAAGCAACTCCTGCCTCCTTTCCTCAGCCTCTCTCTGGATTTCTTTTCTATTTATTTATTTTTTTTTTACATAAAAAAAAAAAATATATGGAACGCTTCATGAAATTTTGTGTCATCCTTGCACAGGGGCCATGCTAATCTTCTCTGTATCGTTCCAATTTTAGTATATGTGCTGCCGAAGCGAACACTCTGGATTTCTTTTATATCACCTAGATGTCTCATCCCAGCCAGAAGAGAGCCTTCACGTTCCCCATCTGTCTTCAGAGCAAAAGAGCTGGGACACCAAGAACAAGCTGTTAGATCACTGCCTGGGAGGCTTGGCTTAGGCCCTTATCCCTGGCTCCATTCCAGTTTAGCTAAGTCTGGCTTTTAAAATTTTTACCTCCTCGTTTGTAGGCCATATGACTGGCCAAACTACGAGAAATAGCTGTTCTGTGAACATGAAAGATCCCTTTCTTGGCAAGCACCTGGTGTCAGTTTTCCTAAGATTCAGATACGTGGTCCAGGAGGTTACCCTCACTGGGAAGGCTGATGTGGGAAGAACCATACTAGAGTGTTCCATGTTCTGCCAAGAGTGGGGTTTCGAAGTCTCTGTGGTTCTGACTGCATTCCAGAGATTGATTGAAGAGAGGCCTGTACCTCCCAACCCATTTGTGTAGGAAAGCCCTACATAAGGGCTCAGCCTTCAGTCATTATGGAGGAGATGCCTGTTTAATAACATACCATATACCTCCCACAAAACTGGAGGCTCCACAGGGCCTGAGAAGCTTTTCATTTTATTGATCATGAATCTGAGGGCAAATTACCTTTGTTTTCATTACAATACTGAGCACTAGACTTCCATTCTGCCACAAAAGTGCAATAGTTGGCCTGGGCTGGTGGTTCACACCTGTAATCCCAGCACTTTGGGAGGCCAAGGTGGGCAGATCACGAGGTCAAGAGATGAAGACCATCCTGGCCAACATAGTGAAACCTCTTCTCTACTAAAAATACAAAAATTAGCTGGGCATGGTGGCAGGCACCTGTAATCCCAGCTACTTAGGAGGCTGAGGCAGGAGAATCACTTGAACCTGGGAGGCAGAGATTGCAGTTAGCCGAGATCACGCCATTGCACTCCTGCCTGGGCAACAGAATGAAACTCCATCTCGGGGGAAAAAAAAAAAGTGTGATACTTCCTGAATCCTTAGGTTTCTGGAGCTTCCTACCTGACCTGATTTCTGTCCACAGTTTTTTATTCCTTCCTTTGCTTTCTTCTCCCTTCCTCCCGCCCCACCAACCTCTTTCCTCTCTCCCTGACCAAATGCAATTCTTGGATCTTAGATTTTGCTGATGGTCGAGTTTTCTGTCTCCCACACTTTTCCTGCTCTGTTGTGCTGCTTTTCCAAATCTATGTAGTTCTCTTCTGCCTTCCTTTCTCACCATCAGCTTTACCTGCCCTCTTCCCTACATACCTCCACCTTTCGATTTTACTCTTTAAGAATTGCCTCCTTTTTCAGTGTAGAGGTGGAACCCTGGCATCCCAACTCCCAATCCCTTCTTTTACAATAATTTTACCCGACTTGCTTTGCCTTCCCCCAGACCCCATGGCCCGGTAGCCTTTTCCTCCCAGCATGTTCCAATTAAAGGAACAGCCACATTACAAATGACAATAACAAAGGAATTACCTTTGTCTTTCTACAAGGATAGAGCCACAGATCTAGTATGGTTGTGGGGTTTGTTGTTGGTAGATGGGTTTGTTATAGTTTGGATTTTTTGGCAGCAGAGGGAGGGACATAGATAGTTGTCTACAGGGCCCAGGAGATAACTCCCCAACTATTAATAAACAGGCCCCTTCTCTCAATGCAGATCTCATGAGCATGGAAGAAGACCCCACCACCACCACCACCATCCCACACTCTGAGCTCCTTGTTGACCCTAGCAACGTACCCCTCAATAATTCCCACCCTTAGGTGACACGATAAATGCTGAATACCAGAGGAATCAATCCACCCAAAATATGCTTATGGGGAGAAAATCTCCCACATCCCTTCCCTGGGTCCCCCTACAGCCCCCTGCTGTCCACTGCGGCCTCAACCCCTGCAGATGGCATTCTGCACCACAAAAAGGCAATAGTTGTAATTGGATTCCGACTACCACGTCCCCAACCCGGAAAGGAGGGCACTTGGGGGGCGGGGACGGAGGAGAGGCTGCGGGAGAAGGGAGGGACCAGAGGAGAGAGCCAGAGAGGGATCCAGACCCCAGTTCGCCGACTAAGCAGAAGAAGATCCAAAAACGCTAAAGAGGAGAAGAACAGTCACTTTTAGGAACAATCCCCTTAACTCCAAGCCGACAGCGCTCTAGGAATTCAAACTCAAGTGCCTACCGAAGACAAAGGCGCCCCCAGGGAGTGACGGTGCGACCCCAGGGCGTGGGCCCCGCCGCGGAGCCCGCACTGCCCAGCTGACCCGGCAGTCTCGGACCATGTCTCCCGCCCCACGACCCTCCCGTTGTCTTCTGCTCCCCCTGCTCACGCTCGGCACCGCGCTCGCCTCCCTCGGCTCGGCCCAAAGCAGCAGCTTCAGCCCCGAAGTAAGTGAGCTCCCCCCGGCCCTTCCCGGAGGCGTGCCCGCCAGGAGGCGAGCCCGGGGGTCTCCAAGGGGACAGCCCCTATTTGGAGAGGAGGGCTTTTGGGATCTCGGCTGCTTGGGCCCGCAGGATTCCCCCTCCCTTTCATTTTCCTTTTCGTCTCCAAACTTCCAGATCGATCCAACTTTTGCCCGCTTCCAACCAGCTGCCCCCACCCCCTGCGCCGCCGACTCTCTTTCCCATTCCTTCTTTTTTTCCATTCCTTGGAAGAACTTTACAGCTGGGGCGGACTCCCCCTTCCCCAATTCCCTTGGGCTCTGCGCTCAGCTCTGGAACCGCCTGATAAACATTTGGACTCCGCTCAAACCCCGCGCAGTCCCGGCTCCTCGTCATGTGCGAGAGTTTGTTGTTTCTTCGACTTCCCGGTTCTCCAGCGCTCTCCCGCCGGCGCGCCCTCCGATGGGTGCTTCGGCCTCCCGGGGCGGGCCAGGACCTCCGCGGACCAGTCTGCGGCCAGGCGGGGTCGAGGGTGGACGGCCGAGAGTCCAGGGCCACAGTCTCCGTCTTCCCGACAGGACCCCGCTGTGTCCCCACCCGCATCCCTGGCGTCGAGGGTCGCAGCGCCGGCAGCTGGCCGCGTTTCCGTGCACACAAAGCTCTCCTTGTGAGCCGGGCGCTCGTCGCTGCCGCCTCCTATCCCCACCCTCGTCGGCGCTTTCAGGCCCATTTTGTTGTTAATTGTTTTTCTGTGTTAATTGCAGGGAGCCTAGGGGCATCACTTGGGGAGTGGGGAGAGGGTCCCGCCCGGGGCGCCTTCACACGTCCCCGCGGCTGGCTTGGGCACCCCCTCAACACGCCCCGGCCCAGACGGTGGCCCACCGGTCCTCAGAGGAAGCTGCGTGGGAGTTGTCTGAGGAGGTTTTTCCTCTGTCTCTCTTATTTTGGGGTGAAGGTGGGAGACAGATTTAATGAGCTTCTTATTTTGGGCCATCTCAACCCACTCAGCCTGGCAAGGGCCTGGGTGCGGTCGGGAGGGGCCAGGAAGGGCCCCAGAAGGGGGATGGCATCTGGGTTTGGCTTCCTCCGCCCTGGTCCCACTCCGGAGAAAACTCTCTGGAAAGAATACTCTCTTCTCTCTCTGTCCCTGAAAGGATCTGAGGCCGACTGGAGAAGCAATGGCCCCAGGAATAGTGATGGAAGATGCAACACGGAGTGCTCAGAGACCAGGGAGAGTAAAAACCTGCCCTGGGGCTGAAGGCTGAGCCTGACTGCCGGGAGGAGGAGTCATCCTCTTGTCAGCCTCTCAGGACTATCAGCCTAGAGTCCTCTGAGACCTAGAAGGGAGCGCCCCTAACAAAACGAGCCTGGCATTTGGGGAGCTGCCCACCGCCAACTTTACTGCCTTGCCTTTTTTCCCTCCCCTGCGCTGCTACGCCCAGAGGGGCGGCAGCCCTGGCTCCGTTTTAAGTGGGTCATGGGCGGTCCCAGTGCCAGAATCACCATTTGCTTCTAGAGGGAGGGGGGAGCAGCTCCTGAGGCTAGGATCCAGGGCCTACTGCAGAGCTGGAGGTCCCCCCACCCCCCCCACAGGGCTCCTAAGCCAAGGCGGGAGGTGTTCAGTTAACTTTCTCCTAGGGGGATACCTTGCATCTCTCATTCACAAAGACAAAGCCAGCCAACTGAGTTATTTGACCCAACATAGTTGCTTTTTTCTCCATGCCAGTGTGGAGGGAAAGCTGGGGTGGTGCAGGCCTCACGCAGCCGGGTCCCTCCCATCAGGCCTCCAAAGTCCTGCACCAGCTCCAGGACAGCCCTCTCCTCCCTTTGGCATGTCTGGCGCTGAGCCCTTCCTCCCACCCAGCCGCAGACACAAGAGTCCTCTCTTCTGTGGTTTCGACCTCATAGTCTGTGAGGAAAGAAATTTGCCTAGGCCTGGGGGGAGGAGAGGGTTGGGGGCACATCCTTTCCAGGCCTTGTGGCTCTCTGGACTCCAGGGAAGTCTCTCACTTGATTAAGCCTTCATTTTTCACCCCAGGGTATGGGGTGGAGGTTGTGGGTGTGAATATTTAGACCCACCTAGCTTCTAGAAAAATTCCAAAAGGGATTTCCCCCAAAGATCCTGGATGTGGATTCTCCCCACCTCTGTGCTGCCCTTCTGTCTCTACTCTAGGTGAATTCTCTCAGCTTTGCTCTCTGTGGGTTGAGGGGGCCTGGCCTCAGTCCTCCTGCTTTCTAGCACCAGAAGTAGAACACTCCCATCCTTCCCCAAGTCCTGAAGCAGCTGCTCCCTAACCAAGGGTCATAAGCCTGGGTGTGTTTATCCTACAGGTGAGGCTAGGGGCAAAGGATGTTTCCTGCATAGTTAGGCACAGGGAGGTGCAGGCTACAGCACGCCTCCCCAGGCACTGGCTGTGGCATCAGCCAGAACAGGTCAGGGCAAGCCTGCAGCTCCCTGAGAGCA